GCCAGCGGAGCCCCGCGTAGATTCCACATTCGTAGAAGCGTGGAAGAAATTAATACCCAACACGGAACCACCTAAGACTCCTTCTGCATTCATGGACCCTAGGCCTGCAACTCCCTCATCTATTCCTTCAAAGCTCACCGTCAACTTTGTCCTTCCTTATTCCTCTGAACTCTCCGGTAAAGAGGTATGATTTTTTACACCTCAAAGTTCTCTCTCTCTTTTTAATTTTTAAAATTTCGCTCTTATTCATGATGGGGTCTTCTTAAAATTAGAGTCTTTAAATGTTATTTGTGAAATGGAGAGAATTTTTGTCTGAAATGGAAAGAATTCGATTTGGTTTGCCCTATTTTATGACCTTTAATTTTGTACCTCGGATCAATCAAATCGATCAATCACTGCGCCTTGATTCCAAATTACATAGGCCATCATAGGAAGTTATTTATTGTTAAGATTTCTTTCTTTTCAACTGACTGTTGACAATTAACGAGCTGGGCAGAGAAAAATGAGAATCGGTTGGATTACAAATGCATACAACCTTTGATTTATTAAGATGATCTTTTGTGTTATGGATGATTTTATATACTTCTAACTTATCCCATTCTAATGACTGAGTTAAATTGTTGGTGGTTGCTTAGTTTCAATAATCGAAACCAACTGCAGTATTGTTTTGGTGCTTGCTTAGTTTCAAGTCTCGGAACCAACTGTAAAAATTCGTTAATTTTCCTTATGTTGTTGCTTTAAGTCTTAGAACACACGAGACACATTGAAGATCAAGTAGCTCATGACTTGCAGATGTCATGCTAGTCAATTTTATCATGTTATAGCTTGGAACGGTTAGGTTGTAAATAAATCCTTAAGGAGTATTTTCAAGAAATCTTACACTAGATAAGCTTTAATTTTATTGCACAAATTTGGACGAATGACATGGAAATCAATGCTGGCAAATTCACTCCATTGGAGAATTGTATTAGTCAAGTAGATTACAAATGTTGTGGTGTTAAGACTTATGCAGAATTGAAGATTAGGGAGTCAAATGCTTGATGCAGGGACTATGCCTTGCTTTCTTCCTTCTCTTGCTGACTGACTTTTTTTTAAGTGATATGCCCCCATCCCCCGTCATGTTGACCATACATTGTTCAAAAGTAACTTTCTGCACGCATGGATTACAGAATTAGAAAGAGCACGGAGTTGAGCTTCTGCTCCGCAATCTTTTTGGTTTGACGCTTCTTTAAACGTCTAATGATACTAGTCCTCTACCATCAATATTTTGTACCTTCAAACATATCAAGTACAAGTAATATGCATTATCACAAAAAATAGGAAAGAGGAAAAACCCTCTTGAACAAACAAATGGAATTGTGAAGCTATAGTAGAGAATTTGCTTTCGATAGGCAAGCTACCCTTCTTTTTTCTATCTCAATACGCTGTCCATCCTTTTTCTAATTGATCCTTTTGAGCATCTGGAGTTATAGCATCCATAGAAGTCTATTGAAGACAAAAAACCAAGCTTCCGAAGCTTCTAGAAGGCCTATGACAAGATCCAAGACAAAGGAACTCAAGACAAACTAATTAGGATTCAATTGCAAATTAGACTTGTCTTGTGTTAGAAGAAGAGCTCAAGCCAATGGAAGATCAATTTAACAAGTGGTATAATTAATCTATTCAAGGCCCAAATTGGTGTCTACATGATGAAGATTAGGGGATAAAATTTCAGCACTTAAAAAGTCCAAGAAAGGAGGTCCAAATTTCACCATATCATTAATAATCTTAATCTTAAAATTGAAAACGAAACCCCTTTGTATAGAGTAGGGTGGCGCCTAATGCAAGCTAAAATTCTAACCAAATTTGGTTACAAAAACAAAGTAAAAATGAACTAAGAAATAGCTAGCTAATAAAGAACAATTTGGAAAGAAATCATAACATTCTTGGGGAGGAATTCCGACAACCTTAGGAGAAAGAAAATAAAATTCTAACTACCTAGGAAAGCATTAAACGTAGTCTTAACAAATTAAGATTACAATTCAAAAACCAATTTAGGAAAGGATGTTGAAAATCTTGAATTAATTTTGACTTAGAAAACCTTCAAACTAGGGCAACATAAAGTATTAAGAATTTTCAACCAAATAAATAAATCATGTCGGTGGTAACTATTTATTAATCATAAATTCTTAATCTATGTACGATATCATATTTGGATTAAGAATTTAAGATTAATAAATAGTTACTGCCAAGGTGATTTGTTTATTTGGAACCATTGAATTTCTTTATAGATTTATACATGTGAGATTATGTTATACATTGATTGAGAATTATGATTAACAAAGAGCTTCCACCAAGCGCTCTATTTATCGGTCATTGAATATTCCCAAAGTATTATGTGTAGATTGTCTGCGATTAAGTGGTGATAGGAATTAAATCCTTGGTCTGTGAGATAATAAATTTACATGTTGATTTTAAGTCTTCTTTATTATAAGTTCACTAAGTAAAATTCCTAGTAATTGATACATGTACTAACTCTCCATCTTAGTTTCACATGTTGGGTCAATTTTGAAATTTTACATAGACATGATAAACTGGTGATTGAAATTAATTCATGTGGTCCAATGTTAATTACCATTTACATGTGAGATAATAAATTTATATGTTGACTTTAGGTTCTCGTCCATATCGAATAAATTTATCTCATTAGGTAAAATTGCTATTAGTTCTTGATAAAAAAATTGCTAACATACCATCTCCATCTGAGGTTGACATGTTGGATCAATATAACTAGTGTTCAAAGATTATATACAATCGACTAGAAGTATGGTATACGCTCCATCTGAGTTAATTATGTTTCTTTGTGGATGTATAAATCATGCATTATTTATATTGATTGCTCGAGCAGTATTTTTCTCATCGAAAGTTACTGTTCAAGATGCATATATGTGTTCTAGATTTTGTCATTCAATGTTTTTTGACTTATCATGATCTATTTAGTGTTTATATCTCAAGTTCACAAAGACTTCATCCTACCCTTTAACTGATTTTTTTGTTATAGTGATAAGACTCTAATTTAGAGGGAATGCATTGTATGTACCTTCCGTTAGAAGGATTTTGACTTCTGTTTCTATTTAATATAAGAGATGGATGTTCAATTTATTTTTTCCGTAACTCTTGTGTTATTGAGTTTGATAACCTTTTATCCCTTGTGGCCTATTGATGCATGGTCTGTTTTCTTATTTGTATCTCTCTTGAGCTGAACAATACTAATCTATTGCAGAAGATAAAACATTCTTCGGAATTGAATGAAACATGTGCACTTGCGTCTAAGTCATATTAATCTTGATAGGATTTTTAAGTTGGTCGAGGATGGATCTTAAGATTCATTGAAAGTGGAGGCATTACTAATTTATAAATCTTGTTTACAGAGAAAACTTACTAAGAGGCATTTTCTCTTAAAAGGAAATAGGGCTAGTGATAAGTTAGAATTAAACCATTCTGATTTGTGTAGTCCAACGAACATACATGCAAGATGTGCTTTTGAGTTTTTGTGACATTCATAAATGATACTCAAAATATGAATATATTTTTTTGATGCATCTAAAGTTTGAATGCTTGATATATTCAAGGAATTTAAGATAGAATGAAAAAGCATCATGGAAAATATATTAAGTCAATGCGATCTAATCGTGGTGGCGAGTACCTCTTTGCGAGGTTTACCAGTTACTTATCAGAATAGAAAATCACATCCAAATTGCCTACATCAAGGATGCCACAACGGAAAGGTGTAGCAGAAAGAAAACGACGTTCCTAAAAAGGAACTAGCGTTATAGGAACTAAGTAAAGAAATAACAAATAAGTCATTGGAAAATTCAGACGTTCCAAAAATACAGCCCCACTAGTAGGAGAAACATTAATAGACATAAGGAAATCCACTACCTCAAAGTAGTAGGAGTAATGTTGAGAAAAGAACATTACATGAAGAAGTCATTAATATTCCAATATCGCAAGGTAATGAATAGAATATTGAGACTCAAGAACATGATGGTCGGACTATACTAGTAGTATTTGGTCGTAATGGGAGAATAGTAACGAAAATTGGTTTGATGTACACTCCTGGGAGAGCTTTATGATAGGATCCTTGAAGAGCTTAATACCGAGCAATACTGGACAAGATTGCATAAGAAAACAACTTGGAAAGATCCTTTTATAAAGAGCTTATGGCGAAAATGGTTGAAAGTTGTAGATGCATGGTTATAAATCTAAGCGGGGGATTGTTGGCATATATACTATTAGCCATGCGTTTAGATCTAGTATTTATTCTAACAATTATTCTGGTGAAAAGTCTAAGTTAGAGATTCTTGGGATATATACTATTAATATTTATACATAATATTTATTATAGAACAATTGTTTATTCAATTTTAGTAAAGATTTAAATACATCATATATATGTCGTGCGTTCGTTTACTTATATAGTAGATAATTCAATGTATAGAGTTTTAGCTTATATACGAAAGATTAAATCATCAATATTTATAAATTATAAAGTTCAAGTTCACAATCTAAAATGGAAACTGTACACTCTATCAGAATGATTGTAGCACAAGATTAAATGTAATTTATCTTGATTATGTGAATGGTATAGTTTCATCTTCTTGTGCTAGTACGTTTTGTGTATACTAGATGGACCAAGTAGAGATAAGTGTTTTTATACTACAGTCAGACCTCTCTATAACAACATCCTTATATAACAACACTTCACTATAAAAGCCAAGCTTTTCCGGAACCAATTTTCATGTTATGTTATAATATATGCTCTCTATAACAGCACTTCCCTATAACATCCAAAAATATTCGGAACAAACGAGTATGTTATAGAGAGGTTTGACTGTACTATATAAAACAACTTCTGTAGTCCATTAAGTGTACTTATACTCTTAAGCTTGATATGATTATTGTGAGTAGTGTATATTGTTTGTTGTTTTGATTTATCAAAAGGTGAGGTGGGGGTATCATCAATCTTTAAATCGAGACATGGATTGTATCAACTAATTATTATTTCGCAAATGCATATTGCCATCATTTGACTGATTAGATATATATTTTCCCGCTAAAAATATGTCTGATAAGTTGGATGATAGCAATATGCCTGTTACAATTTATGTGGCAATATTTCCTTTTTAGACATCCTTGGGAAAGGGGTGCACCCCATGGGGGGTTGTGGGCGGCCTACTCTGACGCTTGCGTCAGTGGATGATTTCACGGCTTGAATCCGTGACTTATGAGGTCACACGGAGACAACGTTACCGTTGCTTCAAGGCTCCTCTTCAATTCGGCAATTTTTCTAAGGTTGGTATTTTCAGAAATCATAAGTAAACATATGCCAGTATCTGACTGTGGTGCACATTAAGTTTTGGATTAGAGACTGGAAATATTGCCTGTTACAAACTAAAATCCTGTTCAATTTTCAATCTTGTGGCTAGATGTTTCATTTGGTCTCATGTGAATTGTGATACCAGAAGACTTGGCTCTATGAAGAATGTGCATGGATTATGTTATCTGCAAATATGAGTCCAAGCTTATATATTCTTTTTTTTTTTCGCATTGCAGGTTGACATGGTTATCATCCCTGCAACTACAGGACAGATGGGTGTTTTGCCTGGGCATGTTGCAACAATTGCAGAGCTGAAGCCCGGTCTCCTATCAGTTCATGAAGGCAATGATGTGACCAAGTACTTTGTGAGTGGTGGGTTTGCATTTGTTCATACGAATTCTTTTGCAGATATAATTGCTATTGAAGCTGTACCACTTGACCAAATCGACCCCAATTTGGTTCAAAAGGGCCTCACAGAGTTCACGCAGAAGCTAAGCACTGCATCAACTGATGTAGAGAAAGCTGAGGCCCAGATTGGAGTTGATGTACACAGCGCCCTTAATGCTGCTCTTACCGGTTAAGCTAGTGGACACAGTCTCCGTCTCTGATCAATTTTCTTTTCCTTCTGTATCTGTTGGAAGCGGCAAACCCTTTAGGACAAACTGATTGTGTTACCTGTTTTTAGTCCTGCATCACTTTGAATAAATGCAGGGGACAAGCTTTCCTAACGTATATGTGGTTAGATGTCATATCATCCTTACCTCTGTACTGCAGTGATGAGAAGTATATTGTTTCAAAGAAATTTTTCAGTAGCAGCTGAATTTCATGCTACCTAATGTTCAGACTGCAGTGTCTCCTCCCCAGTTCTCTCGCTCCATCATTTTAATTGTTGTTACATTGCTTTATGCAGCCTATAACCTTCATACGTGATACCCTTTCGAGGTCTTGCATTACATTTTTTTGACCAAAAATAAATTATTACACTGGGGGATCAGGGAAAAGAAAGAGGAAAAGGGAGATAGCGAGAATTGAATGTCTTCTGTGCGAAACTTCCACCAGTATCACCAGACTATAAGCTTTGGTAAAAGTCCTAATTTACTTTGAATTGAAGTCTCGGGCTAGCTTTCTTTCATATTTACCTTTCGCCTGCTTGAAAAAAGAAAGTGTAATTAATGAGTTTCTGTAATGTGAAGTAAGTTGTCCTTCAATACTGAAAAAGTTTGTATCATTGGAAATTAGTAGGATATTGTTGGTTTTATTTAGAATTATTAGGAAAGAAATGGACCTTTACTTTCCATAGGCACCAGAGCAGTAAGGAATCAAAATCAGATGAATTCCGCTATACATGGACTTTTCACATTGTAGTTCCCATTTCCAACATCCAAACCTCAGTTTTATCTTGCTATTACACTCCTTACATTTATAGCAACTGAAATGCTAGTTAACCATCTTTCTACTTTCAAAATTTGCCTTGATACATATTTCCGAAACTATCGAACTTGAGATCGATAACACACATTATTCCGCATCAGAATCTGTACTTTCCACATACATCTCTCTAACTTCACCACCTGCTTTATATTCCTCTTCCTCCTCTCTTTTCTTCCTCTCCTCTTCTTCTTCCCGTTCAGCGGCTTTAGCTTTTGCTACTTCAAGCCTAGAACTCACCGCCTCCCATGATACAAGCTTCTCCATAAAAATTGATATGTAGTCAGGGCGCCGATTCTAGAGAAAAAAAAATGGCAATGCAACTGTTAAACCCACACAATTTTTTCCGCAGGAAAATCTCAGAAATTTAAGCATTTTATCAGCTAGGCTTACCCGAAAGTCGAGATAGTAAGCATGCTGCAGTTTCAAATAAGAGATTTAGAGAATTAGATGTGGTACCAGTAACCATAAAAATCACCAAAAAGTAAAAAGACAAGGACAAAAACAAATCAAGTATATTGACAAAATAACATGCTCCGCTTACCTCCCAAACGTCAATAGTGAGGAGAGGCTGCAACCAATAACACACAATTGTGAGATTCACTTAATGTTTTAAACTACCAATCTAGGAAGTTGAAACCTCTATGAACCATAACAGTAGAGAATTATGCAATTTTACTCACTGAGTAATCCCACACGAGAGGGTTTACAGCATTAGGAGTTTTCACCACTACAAGCTTTTTGTCCTCATCGGTAGGATGGGGATTTGACGCGTTTCCTACATTAAGTCTATTTGCTTTGTCTACAAAGTGAGTAAAAGAAGCATTAAGATTATAGATAGGATTAAGAAAAAGTAGATATGCAGATAGAAGGCAAAAGAGTTTCTCACACGCAAGCCAAGCCCACCCAGAACCAAATTGTGTTGCTGCGGCTGCCTTAAATTCTTTAACAAATGCTTCAAAGGAACCAAAGTCTCTGTTAATTAGTTCTAATAGTTCACCAGATGGCTTTCCTCCTCCACTAGGCTTCATAGAATCCCAGAAGAATTGATGATTCCAAGCCTATATAGAGAAAGAGGATACAAAAGAATTGGAATTAGATGGGGCAAAAACAACCAAAAGCAGGTCTAGTCACCTGAATTATGTGGCATTCTCACCACATAACTGTGATTTTATGCAAATATGCATCACCAACATCACAGCCATCTGAACTAAGGTTCAGTTACAATGCACTTGGATCAATTGAGAAGCAAAAAATGTAGCCCTGATGAAGAACGTCTATTCATTGACCAGCCCAAACACATTAAGAATATCAATGATAAGAGAGTATGGTTTTTCAGCCAAACCCCTTCTCAGCCATGGCGAAGCCAGAAAATTCAATAAGGGTGTTCAGAATTTGAACACCCTTTGCCAGTGGGCTATGCAAGGGTGTTCAAAATCTATTCTTTGATCAATAACAAGTAATATTTTATCCTATACACAGTATAATTTTTCGGCGCCCTTGGCCACACATAGCTTCGCCCCTGCTTCTCAAAACAGGCCTTGCACTTGGAGAGCTCTAAAGAGGGAAAAGGAAGTTTGGAGTGATATTGTTCTCTGTTTCTCACCTGTGCAGCATTGTTGAATGGTGGAAGGAGATCACCTCTGTTATATGTAATAAGTATTATGTCCTCTAGTGTCATTCCATCCAGTTTTGTTCCATCTATTTGCTTGTTTAAGTTATCTACATAAGCCCTGTGATGTTTCCCCCAGTGGTATTCGAATGTAGTATGGCTCATATGTGGCTCCAGAGCATTCTACATCAGGATATCCACATGTCAAATGCCAAAGCATATCGAAGGAGAAGCACTAAGTCAACAGGCAAGTGGAGAACAAGAGAGGAGGGGGAAGAAGTTATAAGCGAGATATTCTGGTTTTGAAAATTGGAACAATTACCATGGGATAAGGTGGTGGCGTCAGCTCAAATTTAGCTGTAACTTTAACAGGACCAGCTTTTCTAGCCAACTGTTTCTGCAACCAAAAAACTCCTCAGCAATAAGTAAAAAGTAAAGCCAGACCCCTACAGAATTCGTTCTTAATGTTGCAAACTATACACAACCACAACTGAAGCATTTCGTCGAAAACCATGTGTACTAAAGATATCTTTCAACTACTGTCAAAGTAAAGACCTTTATTTGGCTATATTATATCAAATATAACCGAAAATACGTCAGGGAAAACATAAATACCTTGTGGGTTCTCCAATTTAGGCTTCGACATGACTCACGAAATCCTACATTACCAAATACAAAGCATAAAAATACTGAAAGAAAGGTGCTTTGGAGTGAGATACAGAGAAATGGATAAAGAAAAATGAAAGAAAAAGAGGCGAGCCTTGGAAAGGAAGAAATACAGAGGTGAGAGTAGTAGAAGCTGTAGCGGCCATCATCAGGAGCAAGAGCAACCAAACAATTAATTGAGTCTGCTAAATTGGTTTCGCTGCTTTACTTATTACTTATGGGGAAAAGAGTTGAGTCCGAGGATAAGTCTTTAATGTATGAAAAACATTTATGCACACTTTACGATTTGTAGTGTTTTATTACTCTAAAACATCTCAAATATATTATTTTTTAAATTCTTTTTTAACTACATATCGTCAATAACTTCTATAATGTTGTTCTATATTTAAGAAATTGGTGACTTAAATATTATTATACGTGTTTGTTATATATATATATATTGCTTTTACAAAGTTTCCTATATTAAGATAATATTATGTTTACTTTTATTTAAAAAGAAAAAGTAAATATATATTTCTTCGCAGAGGGTTTGATATTTCTGTTGTAGGAAAATAAACACAATAGTAAGCAACTTAAAATTGGAAGTAGGACACCTATTTAGGAAATATGAAGTATATTTTTTAATTCTGGTTTTCCACTTGGAGTTCGGTATGGATAACGATATATGCCCCTGACTAATTCGGATTCACACCATGTAAGGCTCAGTGGGGAAAGCGTTTCCTATTTAATTTTTTTTTCATCGCAGGACCTCCGGTTAACGTTGAGGGAATCTATCCATCAAACAATTTTTGGTCATAGTAATACATTTTATAAAACTCAAGTAATTATGTGAGACCCTCTTTTACCTTTTCAATATAATTGTTTACCCTTAAAATGGATAACAATTAAATTTGTACGCGGCTTAAAGGATATGTGGTTTAATTTAACACAAATGATCAAAGAACAATAAATAATGGAATTGAAATGAGATAAAATGATCAATCCAATGTGGCAAAGTAATTAAGCCTTCCGTCAGGCTTAAATGCTGACAGTCGGTTTCAATCGAGTCTTCGAGATAGAGCTCGGATCCAGCTAAATAATGAACAATTAAAGAACACTTAGAACAATTGCTGAGAGTCAAAATAAATTTTATTGCCTTGATATGCATGCAAAACAGTGTCAAAAAATGCAGGGACCTCCTCTTTATATAATAGAGGAGTTTTAACCCTAATACAAGTCTAAATAAGGTAAAAATCTTTTCCTTCCTTCTTTTCCATGAAAATATGATCTGCAGCCAATACCGAGCGTGATCCACGCCGCAATCTCCGGCTGATGGCGGATATTTCGGCTACCCGTTTGCCTTCTCTAACCGTCAACCTTTACCCTCGATTCTTCATCTCACTCGAGCTCGATTCTTTCTTGGTTCGGCCATGCTCGAGACCCGTTGTATCGTTTGTCCTTCCCTGGTTCCGATCTATGGGTACCTTCGGTCTCACTCGAGCCAGTAGCAAATAACGTCGATCGTTATTCCACAACGGAAAATCGGGAGTGACTCTAGCTATCCCCGATTTACCCGTATACAGTAATATTAATTTTTTCGAAGAACACAAAAATGAGTGGCGATTTTCATATGGTTTTGCTTCAACTATTAGGAAATTAGTTCAAAAATATATTATCAAAATAGAAACGAGGGATAATTTATTAACTAATGAAGTGTTTACTTAGGTATTACAATTAATTAGGAAAACAATAAAAAAAACTTACATGGAACAGGTCTATATTGCCCTAGATATATTTCCCTATGACAAGGCAAATATACGGACCAATGATAATGACGAGCAATACATGCAGCACCCAAATGACTGAGTAATTTAATTTCATATTAATTGTCTATATTTACATGGTTGGATGATATGGACTCATATGTAATATACCCTTGTTTTCAATGTATTCAGTAAAAATATTTTTCTTGGAAATAGATAAATTCGAAAGCCATTTCGCTAGTGAATATATCGTCTTAATGTTACACGAAATTGCTGAATTATACTTGGCATTACTAGAATATCAGAGTTCTTCAAATTACAACGAAAATAATTAGTTGTACCAGCCTTCTTCTAAACCATGCTGGTTCTACAGCAAGTATATATAAGTCAGAAGCGTGCAACAGATAAAATAAAAGGGGGAGCAAACATGAGTTACAAGACCATATGGATTCTTTAAAATTTGGTATTTCATTTTAATATGATCTGACAATATATGGTAATTCTAAAATCGAACATTTTAAGACGTTTTCTTACTTCACTATTCTAGTCTCTTGATGCCAATAGTAGTAAGTTTTCATCTGCTCGGAATAATATGTTTGATTTTTCATAAAACCAAAGAAAAAAAGAAGTTTTAGTCTTCACATTTTTCGATAGAGATAAATGCATTGTTTCCTCTAAGGCCTTACTGTTTGGTATATTTTGGGCTACCTAGGTTTTTATTTTATTTTATTTTTTTTTTGGTTGGTAATATGATACTTAGGAAATTAACATTGTAAAAAGAAATTTTGTTTGAAGTTGTGTTAAGTGTTATTTTGGGCTGCCTAGGAAAATAGCATATAAGAAGATAAATTTTATTGTTCAAACAAAACAAAACAAAAAAACCACAGGTGTTGTTTCAGATAAATAATTAAGCGAACAAGAAAAAGAGAGCACTGTTTCAAAGAAGGGATCATACCGATTGACAGTAGCAGTTGTCGTCTTTAGACATCTAAACCATCGTTGCTGTTGGCGAAGAGTTGCCACCTTTTCATTTCATTCTCTTTAAATATCAATTCCCCTATGGATGTTTCTCCTCATCCCTGTTCTTCTCCATCTTCAGGTTTAAACTGCGCGCCATTTCTTTTCTTTCTTCGAATGCATGGTTTCGTCCTTGCAAATCTCACTTAATTTTCTTCTTTATTATGCAGAATTATCTCAGCGCATCCACCAGAGAAAACTGCAAGAATGCCTCCCAAGCACGGATGTTAGTTCCCCCCATTCACATTCTAAACTCTTCTTCTTTAATTTGTCCGGAATTTTGATGTCATTTTTTGTTTTTGGAATTTGGTGCAGCGGCTCCTTATTCGGATGCAAGGAATTCAAAGAGGAAGATGAAAGAAGTGATGGTGGATCAACCTACTCCTGCAGCATTGACTCCGCCAACAACAGTACCCATGAATTTGTTCCCAGTCCACATTGCTGCGCCTAACCAACAACTTCCTTCCCAGCCTTCTGAACCCGTCAATTTTGACAGATTTTTGACTAGGCCTTTTACTTCGTATACTGCTTTATTAACTGAAGCAGAAGAAGATTATGGCCCTGCTAGTCTCCGTCGCGTGCAGGACCAAATTGAACAGACTACCAAAGCCCACGCACGTCTTTTCATTATTTTTTGTTTTCCACATGCATGATTCCTCTATTCTCGTACGTCGTCTAATTTAAACTTTAATGCAGGCTGACCAAGTGAGGAAAATGTTGTTTGATGTTTGGATGCGGCACTACAAGAACATCATGAACAGTGCGTACGAGGAGGCAAGCACGAAACTGAAGGAGAAAGAAGAGGAACTAAGGCAAGCAAAGATGAGGATAGCCGAACTGGAAGCGGTTGTCGGTCAACTGACTTATCAGGGACAGTTTCTACAGAACAGAGTTCGAACCTTAGAGAATCAGCATGCTGGAATGAGAGCAGCGTTCCAAGATGCAACACTACGTGGCGCTCTCAATGCTGGTGCAGGCGCCAGGGTTGGCGGCCCTGAGGCGCCGTTGCAAGAGGACGCTGAGTCCTCTTTCGTTGATCCACATAGAGCTGAACCATGGAAGATTGGGCCGTGTAAGACTTGTGACAAAGAAGAGGCTACGATGCTGATATGGCCATGTCGCCATGTTTGTCTCTGCGCAAAATGTGCTGCTGCTGCGACTGCCTGCCCTGTTTGCAACATTCCCAAGTTTAATAGCTTCGAAGTCATAATCCCTTAAGTTGGCTTCAATATGGTCTCGTCCCTCCGGTTTCCTATCAAGGAGTTATTACTCCATTTGCTACTGCTATGTTGTTGGAGGTTTAAAGATTCATTTGGGGTATGTAATAATGTTTATTTGCTACTGCTATGCTGTTGGAGGCTTAAAGATTCTATTTTGCTCAACTATTGGATGAATGTAATAATATATTTTATGGATTTATGTTATTGGTTCGGAGTTTGATTATTTTTTTTAATGGTGGACCATTACTTCTATTTTAATTACCTGATTTCATTTGATTTACTTTACAATTACAAAAAAGCTTCTGATGCACTTTGTTATGCAAAGCTCAAAATACATATGAATTTTTTAAAGAGTAATAAAAGTCATTGCTAGAAAATCATTGCCATTGCTGCTTAGCCAAGTTTTTTTTTTCCAAACGTCAAAGGTCTTTTTCCAAAATAAAAGATGATTTTTTTTTAAAAAACAAAAGTTTATTTCCTTAGTTTAGGTGTATGATTTTAGTCACGACTGTTGAATTTGAGGTTTAAACTTGATTATAAATGGAAATAGATTATGAACTTGACATTTTAAAAATTTAATCATAATTCAAAAATAAATTAGGTCTCAAATTACTTTTTCGTAATTAAATGAAATAGGGCAGATATATGTCGAATTAATTTCTGTTGTAGGAAAGTATACATAAAACAGTTAAGATTAAGTGAGACCTTCTTCTGAACAGTATTGTATTTTTCAAAGGTGACATTCATTTGTTTTGCCAGAAATATTAAACAATTACTTCAAAAGTATATGTTACCGGAACAACTACTCTATTCTCTTCTTTCCCGTTTATGTTTATTTGGAAAGTTTTAAAATTGTTATGGCTCAGAGAATCAGACTATGGCAAACCATTATCTTTACTGACTCAGTTACTTGTTTAGAATCAATCACGACATATGCAGCTATTTTATTGCTTCTAAAGGTTAATACAAAATCATTGCGATAATCCTTGCCATTTGCTTAAGACAAGGTTTTACCACTATCACTTATCTGTTTTAGAGGTCCAATCAAAAAAACAATCGAATATAATTGCGAAAGCTGGATTTGGTGCAAAATGCAAAGCTATCTGATTATGCCCAAACTCTTTTTCTTGGGACAAGGTCCGATGTCTTTATCTGATCTATTTTAGCAGCTACAATGAAATCGTTTATGCTCAAACCTCCTGCAATAAGAGTACACCACTATGAGACAACATTCTTTAACTATGAAGGAGGAATCAGATTAAAGCTATTTCCACGAGAAAATTATTATTGCGCGAAAAAATTATTAAAAAACCACATTGTATTGGCAAGTGATAAAGCTAGGAACCAGAGTATGTCTGGTTATAGACATTAATAGATTAAAGGATTTCCCAAATATTTGACATTTGGGAAAGTATCATTTCAAAATTCCACATTTGGATTCGGATCCTGTTGAGGCGAATGATCCAATCTTCAAAAGATCTGACTGATCACAGTCACACAACCACTACTGTTCTCTGGAAGTTTTTCACCATTTCCCAGTGTTATCTTCTACTAGCGCATTTTGAAAACACTGAACATTCCTCCCGTTAACCACCTATCCTAAGATTTCTATTGAAACGGCTTTTACTTAAAAGGAACACATGCTTATAGCTGTTTCATAAAGAAACTTATCATTTTCATGCCTAGCGGAGCAAGTTTGGCAAGAATCCTAATTTGATAAGTTTTCTTACCCTTTTCTGCCGTAAGTTATTAATGACAACACTTAAAACACCCTATTAGATGAATCTGTGAACAATGCCAGGGATAGGGATGACTAAAGAAGGGGAGGGAGGAGAGGAGCGACTGAAAAAGTGTACTAACCGATGGAAGCAGTCCATAGCTCAGCACGAACTTGATTGGACTGCTCTAAGTGAAGAAGTGTGGGAACGTGCCCAGTGCCTTCCACCACTTTGCCTATTCGATTGATAAGTTCAACCCCACATTCGAAGTCTCTTAATTTCCATGTACATTGTAGCTTGAGCACCCCATCTTCATGTGCCAGTCTCCAGCCAACAACCTGAAGAACAGATTGCACATTAAAACATGAATGCTTTTTGTTATCCATTATACAATGTATGTTATCCAATACAACCTAATAAAGATCTTAGGTTTTACTTATTAAACCACAGTTCTCACCGATACAACCAGGTACAAGACTTAATTCATTCAAGTCAACATGCTATTATAGTTTTTTTCAACCAACGATCAACAGCCATTGATATATTAGTACCTTCTGAAATTCCTGCTGTCCGATGTAGGTCTTTTTAAAGTGTATTCTGTTAGAAGAAAAATGGTGAAGCTAGGGGCTCTAGCTTCTCACATTTTAATTTTTTTTTTTTTAAATTTCTCGATTTTCCTAGGAGAAATGTACCCTGGTACCATCTAAATGAATCAAATTTGAAAACCGTCTCAAGAATCATTATTTAATTCCAGCTTTCCTCCAATCTAGGTTCCGAAATAAGAAGAGATATCTAGACTAACAGTCCGCTCTTTCAATTGATCCTCACAGATTGAAGAGAGTATAACCTTTTGAAATCATCAGAAACATATGCATTCCCCCTAAGTACGTCAACAAAAAGAAACTCCATCGTTTCAATTTATATGATTCTTTTTTCTTTTTTGAATGTTCCAAGATGTTATCCAGCAATATTTTTATTCTATGTAGGCAGGCAACTTTAAAAACTTTCAACAATTCAAATTCATATAAGCAGTCAAAATTTAAAGCTCGTTTACTGTCAAATTAAATTTCCAACCACAACTTTGAAAATATTTTTTCCACCATCAGAAATGTAATAGACTAGTAATACATAAATCTTTGTCTAATCAAACAAATAAAATGGGAGAAGTAGTAATATTTATTCTATCTGGCCAACAATTTCATCCAAGCGGCAAATGAGCTTCAGATAAATCAGAATTTCCAAAGCAAGCAAAGAACATGGGGGGATAATTCATATAGCTGACCTTGAATAGGAGCTGTCGAGCTTCATATTCCGAGAGAGGAGTTTGACCAGGTGAGATGACAATGCAGTCTTGCTGAGCAAGGGACAGAGCAGAAGCAGCTGGGATGAGAATTTTGTGCTCCGTGTCAGTATTACCCAAAACTTTTTCACCGAATTTACTCTCTATTTCAGCTGGGAATGGATCTCTCGCCCCAAAATCGCCCAATAGGTCTCCCCCGTTGCAATGAATTCTGGTGCAAATTCGAGATTGGGTGGTCTGTAGGTAAGGAGTAAGAAAGTTAGCGACTTTCTGGGTTGGGTGCGAAGGGAGAGAAGAAACTGAAATTGGTGGAGAGAAACAAAGATGAGTTAAAGTAGCCATAATAGAGAGAGAGAGAAAAGTTCACTGCTCTGCTCTTACTATTGGAGGTGGGAGAGGATATGGTACTGGTTTTATCCGGTCGGTATGAAAATTAGCATCCGGTTCAGGAGAGATGGCAATGGGCAGGCCCCACCTAGATCTTACTTTTTGATTTAGGATTTCTCGATTAGCTTGTTTAAAGGCCCTATATCCACAGAGATCAACCTCAGATTTTCTGTTTTATTTTCTTCTTTTTTTCTCCAACCCTTTTTATTGATCTTCGTTGATGTAGAATTATTTTATTATATCAATATTTTGCTTGATACTTTTTGGCTAGTTTAAGCAATTTTCTCTCGGTGTGAGATACAAGTCCAAAGTTGGAAAGGAAAATTCAATGGTTTAGATATCACAATTCAAATTGCAGTACTAGTTGTATCCCTATTTTCCACTCGAATTGCATTATACTTATTGTGTACGGGTCAAACGAGGGCAACGTTTTCCCCGATTTACCAATAAGGAAACGAGAGGGAAGCACGATCCGACACAACTACGAGCAAGGTCAAAGGATCCCTCGTATCGGAACTCGAAAGGAATGAACGATGCATTCGGGATCGGACACGGCAAAACAACGGATCCAGACCGATTAAAGTCTCGAGACCACGGAAAAAGAGAAGCGGTTGCGCATGACAAGTGGAGAGCAGTAATATTCTCCCTCAACCGGATATTACAGTGCAAATTCCGTCCGATATCAAATGCAGATCGACATTTACCGGAAAAAGAAGATTGTTATCTTATTTAGACTTATACTAGGATTGAAACTCCCTTACTATATAAGGGGAGAATTTTCTCATTTTAACACATGATTGACACGCATATCAAAGCAATAAAAGTTTATTTTTATCTTCTAGCTATTGTTCAAAGTGTTCTTCAACTATTCTTTTCTTTAATTACAACCGAGCCCATATCAAGGGTTCGATAGAGGCTAAATTTCAGTGTTCAACTTGAGACCCGACTTGATTGTTGCATTGATTGGTTTGATCGTTTATTCTCTCTTTAATTTAATTATTTATTGTTCTTAGATCATTCATATTGAATTAAATCACGTGTCCTTTAAACCGCGTACAAATTTAATTGTTACTCATTTTTAAGAGTAAACAGTTTGGCGCCCACCGTGGGGCAAAGGATAATAGTGGTGATTTGATACGAATCTCCATAACACACCCTGTTTTACACTTGTTCTTTGAAGTTTTGATTTTAGGTTAACCTAAGGATGTCAAATTCTCAGTCTGCTCACTTGAACGTTCACGTCTAGTGAGGCCACCACGACGAGAACAATAACGTGGTGCCTAGCAATGATGTGCCCCCTGTTGATCCATAATAGTGTCCCAGCCGTCGACCCGGTCGACGCTAACTCACAGGTTTCCATCAATATCAATCTACCAACTGACCTCGAAAACAATGTTCGCAGGGCACCCCGACCATCGACTCGAGAAACCCTCGAAGGTGAAGGTGATGAACTGAGCTTGCGATTGATTTTTGAAATGTTCCAAGATCAACAGGCAGAAATAGCGCAGTTGCAGACCCAGAGTCATGCCACTAACTGGGTCGAGCCCGAGCGGACCAGGGAAAATACTCAAAGGGATGAACAAGTTGCTGCAG